TTTGCTAGACTACATTGTTCTCTTTCGTTGAGAGTAAATTTGAAACAATGTTGTGCAAGTGGAATTATATATAGAATATAGCCTTTGAGTTAATGATAGTATAACCTTCAAGCTGTTTGCCTTCGAGTTAATGATAGTATACCCTTCTAGCCGTTTGCCTTTGAGTTAATGGTAGCACACCCTTCAAACTGTTTGCCTTTGCAAAGATCAAGTAATGCCTAGCTTTCTTTTTAGTCCTTTAGAGTAAGTACCATCGCTTTTGTAATTTGTTTTTTATTACTGGTTTAATTATTGTTGCCTCTATCCTTTGAAGTAGATATATTTTAGCCCTGAAGTGCATCAGAAGGTTTATGGGAAAGCAACTCTAGTTCCAAATAGGGAATCAAGAAGGTGGATCTCTGTCGAAAACAAAATAAGCTTCTTTTAAAAATGGGAGCCCTATTAAGAAGCACAAACAGAAGTCTCCCATTGAACTAGTAAATCTCAATTCATTTTTCTTTCATTTTGGTCTCACTTTTTTTTTTTTTTTTGACATGACATAGTTGATTTATCATTGTGAAAACTCCATGGATACTTCAAACGGTATATATCTTGTTTTCCATGTTTAAACTAAGATGGTTGATAGGTATCTTAGCAATTATCTCTCCTCTCGTAGGAGTCCTCTCTTGTCACATACAAGGATAGCTTTCCTGGCGTAGGTGGTGTTTCTCTGGTTTCGATTGTAGGCCGGAATCTCTAGTGAGTGCTAATGGCGGATTCTCTTAATGATCTGGCAAGGTGGCACATCTTGACAGATGAGGAGGAAGCAGAGGTGGTGGTGGATGAGGTTCATATTCAATCTATGGAGGCGAAGGCGGGGCTTTGTCTGGTGGGTAAACTTCTCACTACGTGGCCATTCAATTTAGAGGCTTTGTAGTCTACTTTGACTGTGGTTTGGAGAGCCTCAAAAGGGGTCGTGTTCAAGACATTGGGTGATAACTTGTTTTTGATCCAATTTGGCCATATTGTTGATAAGAAAAGGGTGATGCTAAATAGCCCTTGGAATTTTGACAAACAGTTGGTGATGTTGAGAGAGTTTGATGGGGACTTACAGCCGTTGGAGATCACCTTCTCCACTATGGAGTTCTGGGTCCATGCATCAAATCTCCCTCTTATTAGTATGACACGGGCTGTGGGGGTTTTGCTGGGTAATAAACTTGGGAGGTTTGTTGACATGGAATATGGAGATTGTGGTTTTGCTTGGGGATGGACTCTACATATTCGGGTTGAGATCAATATTGACAAACCACTTCAGCGTGGTCTGAAATTGGCATTAAGTGGGCGGGAGTTGGTGTGGATTACGCTCACGTATGAGAAGCTCCCAAACTTCTGTTTTCATTGTGGTCTGCTTGGCCATAGTGTTCGTGATTGTGAGAATAAGATTTTGGGTGACAGTGATGGGGAGGGGGCAAGGTTGCAGTATGGGACCTGGCTCCGGGCTGAGCCAACAAGGGGACGGTATCAAAGGGACCACCAATATACCCAGGAGAGGGAGGTGGGATCTGAGGGAAACTCAAAAGTGAGGCCGGAGGATTTAGATGTGCCATAGGGTGGTCAAGGGGATGGTTCTAATCATTGTTTTGTTTTAGCGACGGCAGAAAAACGGAGAACAGAGAACGGAGAAGGAATCTTTGGGTAAGTACAAATCAAGTAAGGATAACTTTGATCTCCCAAACACCGGGATTGCATGTAACAGGGCGGATTTGGTGGGCTCAATTGTGGGTATAGGGGAGGAGATCTCTCTTTGGTGCCAGGGTCAGATATTCAAATCAAGGAAGGCTAGGTTGGGCTGGACCATGCTCTTGATGGGCCTAATGGGAGGCAGGATATGGAGGTGGGGGCTAATGGGAGGTCGGTGGAAAGGATTCATGGGCAGACGACTTTGGGCTTGGGGGGTCACAGTGGGCCCAAGATTGGTGGGTTCTTAAGTCAAGGGATGGACTTTTCCGTGAGCCCTATGCTTAATATGGTTACACTTTCTATTGGCCCAATAAAGGTGGGGAAAAGTGGAAGAAGTTGGCTCGAAATTTCGCACAACCGGTGGAGCAGAGGAAGCTAACTGCTGGCAGTATGAAGAAGTCTGTTGGCAAGCGGGGGCAGGGGCTCCGTGATGAGTCCTCTGTTTCTTTAGACGAAAATAAAAGGGTTAAGATTTCTGAGGGTGTAATTAATCATGTTTCACCTCTCCAACTAGCGGTAGAGGTTATTGGGCAACCCCGCCGATCACAATGAAATGCCTCAGTTGGAATTGTCGTGGGCTTGGGAACCTGTGCACAGTTCGAAATCTTCAGCTTTTGCTGAAAAAACAAGCGCTTGATGTAGTTTTTCTTATGGAAACAAAGCGTGTATCGAGCAAGATGGAGTGGCTTCGCTGTAAACTTGGTTTGGTTAAGGGTTTGTTTGTGGATAGGATTAGCTTGTCTGGGGGGTTAGCACTGTTATGGAGGACTGGAGTGACGGTGTCTGTTCGTAGCTATTCACGTGGGTATGTAGATGTTGTTGTGGAGTCGGCTGTGGGGAATGGGCGATGACAATTTACCGGGTTCTATGGCCATCCGAAAGTAGCAAAAAGACGGGACTCGTGGGAGTTGCTTCGTCGTTTGGCAGGTTTATATGATCTATCTTAGATGGTTGTGGGAGACTTCAATGAAATTTTGTTGCTTTCGGAGAAATTGGGTTTGTGCGACCGAAGTAGAGTCTAGCTTGAAGCCTTCCAACAAGTTCTTTCGGATTGTTCGTTAGCTGACTTGGGATTTTCGGGGCCTCGATTTACTTGGTGTAATAATCGACCATCTGGGTTGGAACGTGAACGGTTAGATCGTGGTGTGGCTAAAGCCGCTTGGTTAGGCATTTTTTCGAAGGCTAGTGTGGTCCATCTCACATGTACGATGTCGGATCACATGCCTATTTTGGTTGATTTGTTGGAGCTGAAACAATGCCAAAGTGGTCAACGGTGGAGACCACGTATTTACTGCTTTAAAGTGATGTGGCTCCATGATGGTAAATGTGAGGAGGTGGTCAAAGCTAATTGGGCCCGTGATCAAAAGGGTAGTATGGATAGATTATGGCACACTGTAGAGAAAATGGGCTCTTGCTTATCCCAGTGGGGTAGAACCATTTTTGGTCATGTTCAACAATTACTTCGTTCTAACCTAAATGAGGTGCGACATTTGGAGGGCCAAACCATGCTCTCTAGTGATGACTACGGAGTACGCATGCAGTTATGTCGCGAGATTGATAAACTCCTTGAGAGAGAGGAGACTTTGTGATGCCAACTGAGAGGGTAATTTTTGGTAAAAATTGGGCCGAGCTATGTGATAGGCTTCGTGGCCCAAAGTGCCAAGGACTTGGTGAAAAGGCCGCAAGGTTACTCCGGCCCAGGAGAGGTATGGTTACTCCGGCCGAGGAGAGACAGGGTTACTCCGGCCGAGGAGAGGCAAAGCTACTCCGGCATAAGAGGGACAAAGTTACTTCGGCACAGTGACTGTAGAGGTACTTCGGTCCGAAAGCAACTTGGAGTTGTGCCGGTCTTGGGGTTATACCGGTCGAAAGTCGCTGGTTCGGTCTAAAACCGTACTATGGGTTCTATATGGAAAGCCGAGATAAGAAAGGGAAGACAAAAGAACCGAACTATGAATGAGTTCGGTCCACTCGGTGGCTTAGTATAGCCAAGTTTTATTTCGGTCAAATGGTGGTTCGGCCATGGAGAAAACCATCCCACTTGGTTTAAGCAGTGGGGGAGGGTGTAAAAGGATAAGCATTATCCTTAGGAGTATGAATCCTAGGAGGACTCTGCATGGAGAAATACAAGTCCTACTAGGATTGTGCCACGGGAAACTTATAAAAGCTCACAAACATCACCTTGGAGGGGGTAATTCAATTTTACTTTCTGAAAACTTAGAGCTTTGTCTATTCGTCAAGTTTTCTGACTTAGGCATGGGAGAGGTTTCCGGCACACACCCGCCGGCTAGCTCACGTTTGTGTTTTCAGGTGACAAAGCGACGTCGTACGGAGGAGCGTGGACTTGGTCAACAGGATTATACGAGGAGAATTATTTCCTCCCCGTACATTAATGTAAGAACCTCTCCACTTATAGCTGATTAGTTGAGTTAGATGTTGCATCCCCACTTCCTATCAAAGGTGGGTCTTGAGTAGCCTCTCTAGCCCTTGTGGTAGTCTCTGCCCAAGTTTGTTTACCATATAAGCCTATTTGGAGGAGTAACTTATTTTTTGACATTATTCCTTTTTATATAAAAAAAATGTTTAAAAAAACAGAAAGGTAGTGTGATTTAAATAAACCAATAAACTAATTTTTTTCCCAATTGTCAATAGGATTGTGCAAAACTCCTCTAAAACCGTACCAATTTGCATCAATTTGTACCCGCTCTATCTGCTAATCGTAAATTAAATTTTAAAATTTGTAATCCGCTTTCGAAACCACTTCGTTCCACTACACTATAGCTAATATATATATATATATATATATATTTTAACCTCTAATGAAATATCAAAATAAAAATGAGTGTGAGAGAGATTTAAGATGTGAAATTTATTACAAATTAGTATTTATATATGAAACATATTATGTGAAATTAGTTTATATTATATATATATAAAAAAATATTTTGCAAATTAATATTATATATTATACAAATATTTGATAATTGGTTAAAATATTCTTCAATCTTCAAATCTGTCCAAAACTGTCCAAATTATAATTTGTCAATCCGTCATTCAATTTATAATTTTATTCTTAAACCGTCCGAACTGTAATAAATCTCTCAACTTAAAATTTGAACTTGCTCAACCCTTATCTATAAAATTATAAAAAAAAAAATTCTAAAATTGTAACAGTAGTGAGTCAATTAACAACTCAATTGGCTTTGATGGTATGTGACAACTTGACAGCTTTAAAACATATTTTAATTTTGGATTTCGTTAAAATTCTTTATATACACACATCACAAACATAGGAGAGAGAGAAAGAGAGAAGTTTTCTTTGGAGAGAGAGATGTATGTAACAAGGCTGCTTTCCCACCTCCAGAGTTCTCCAGAATCTCTTTCATTACCATCAGATGGCCCAAATTCTGGGTTTTTAGTAATTCAAGACAAAAATTCAGAGACTACTACCTTTTTCGGATTGCTTAAAAATCGGTATGTGAAGGACCTGCCTTTACCTCAGAACAAGGAGCTGCATGTTGAGTACTCCTCTGACGACGAGGAAACAACCTTTGTTCCAGTTGTCAATAAGCCACTGTCTTCCAATCTCTATTATGCATTAAAGCCTCACAGGTCTCACAAAGGGTATATATCCTAAATCAAACTTCTTTACTTTTGTGTTTTATTTTCGTACATGCCAATCCACAGTTGGACTCCCCCCATAAAATCAAATAAGATTGATATAATATTTGTAACATAAATTTTTTAGAAAATTTACTTAAAATTCAAATTCATTCATGTATTTATGAAAAATTACATCTCATCTTTTCAAATTTCTAATAATATAGCAAATGATCATTTTTATTGATACAATTTTACGATATTTTATAAACAATCTAAAATTCAGCTTGCCCAAAATAGGAGAAATGTAGCTTCTGTCAATGCATTAATTTGTACCATCATTTTAAAAATAGACTAATATGTAATGAATTTTTGAACTCCCAAAACATTGATAGATGAAAATTGTATATCTATAGGTTAGTTCACGGTATGTATGGTTATTTTGTCTAATTCATAGCCTGATTCACAAACACTACTATCAAATGGGCTATTATAAAAACTTTTTGCAATTAGTGATTTAAATATTTTATGACAACGTCGCCTAATTTATCATATTGATACGCTGCGACCAATATTCGATTTGTGATACTTTAAAATCTTGAGATGTAGACATCAATTTCTAAAGGCTACTAGAATGTATATGATTTGTTTGCATTGATGAAATTTATTGCTAAGTTCATCTTACTAGTATCGATTTCCTTCTACAGGGAAGCATATGCTTGTTCAAAGGAAGAAGACATGGATACGAGTTGTTGCTGTAACTGCATCCAAGATGTCAAACCAAGACCGTTAGATCCCAATGACATATATCAACAATTTCATATCGTTCCTTACAAAAGAGGTGGTCAATTTTATGCCAAATCAATTGCGCCAGATGGGATTCCTCCAAACTTCTTGAGAACAAAAGGGTGGAGCATTCGTACTCAAACCCCCCAAAACTACCAACTTGGTGAAGCACTAGGCATCAACACTGCCCTCCGTGATCGCCTTCCATCATTCGATCTCCCATTAAAAATATATTATACCTAAACCAAGTCAAATTAAAATTCTTTCACAAACCAATTGGGTCCCACACTCCAATTAAGGAGGTATACCCAACACAAAGATGGGAGCAAATATTCACTTGTGAAAATGGTTATAATCAAGGGAATGTTGTGTTTGTGGATGTTGCAGTCCAAACAGAAATAGTCACTGTAGGGGGCAGAGAAGCAGTGTGGGATGAGAATAGAGTGGCCGATGGGGTGATTTGGTTTACGAGCTTTGGTGGTGTAGGAGAAGAAGTGAATATTGGGTTGATCTCGCTAATTGTTGACAGAATGAAATGGGAACAAGAGAGAGGAGGGTGGCTTGGCGGCGAAAAAAGGCAAGTTAGTGTGAATAAAACAGAGGAGTATGCAGGGATTGGTGTTGGTGGGTGGAGTAGGTTTGGTTGCTATGTGCTGGTTGAGAGGTTTGTGTTGAAAAGAATGGATAAAAGTGTGGCACTAACCTATGATTTCAAGCACACTCATGTGATTAGGAGCAAATGGGAATGAGAAGTGTTTGGAACTCTAAAAAACTTTAATTATCCTGATATTGTGTGTATGTCCTATAGTTTGATTCCATACTTGTATTTGGATTGGGAATTAGAAAATGTATGCTATTGGCACATTACTGGTCCAAATAAATAAAATAAAATAAAATAAAATAAAAAATAACTATTGGCACATTACTAAATTTATTATATTTTTTGCCTTTATGTTTTACTAATGAGGAAATATCATTTTGTCTATCTAAACTATAACTCAAAAATCAATTTAACCACTATTCTTTTAATAATATCAATTTTGCACATAAACTATTTGATTTTAGATCAATTTTACCCCTGCCATTAGCTATCGTTTATAATCAAACAGAAATTGCTGACGTAACACCGAAATTTCATTTGAAATTTTATTTTACCTATCAAACTATCACTAAAATATCAATTAAACTCTCAAATTTCATTTTATTTAGCAGTGTAATTGATATTTTGGGGACAGTTTGGTAGTAAATAAAATTTCAAGTCAAGTTTCAACGTTACATCAGCAACTTCTGTTTGATCATAGACAGTAATTGACGATGGGATAAAATTGATGCAAATTCGGGGCCTCATTTTGGAACTTGACTATTTCAATTAACTTTTTTGTTATTTTATGAGATGAAAAATAGTTGTGTTTTGAATGATTTATGAATTTTTTTTATAATTGAATAGATAGTTGTGAGCGAAAAGTAATTGATTAATATGTAAGATGTGACATTTTATCTTATTGATTATTAGTTTTATTTATTTTTATCTTCATTAACTATTTTAGCTAAAAAAAATTCTTGCCAAACACCCCCAAATAGTTTAGGTATAAAATTATGAATATTATTAAAGGAGCAGGAATTGAATTAATTTTTGAATAAAAGTTTAGTAGACAAAATGATTTTTTTTTTATTAACTATATTAAAACACGTATTTTTGTTTTTAATATATAGGACACATTATTGATGACAAAATTAAAATAATTATAATTATAACTATTATGAAAATAATTAAAAATTATTTGATTTTAAATTTCTTTTTTCATGTTTTAAAATATTTTTTAAATTTTTATTTAATATTCATATTGTTTTTTAATTATTTAAGTGATACCATGCATTGGACAGATGGAATGATAGTAACATATATGGAAAATGTCGATATATGTATGTCCGGCCGACGGTTGAAACAAAGCCACACACGTGACACACATAGACGGCGAACTGTTATGGATCCACCACGCAATAAAGATTAGATTAGAGCCTGGCTTTTCTCAAATTATTTATACTTTTCATCTATATTATTTATAAAAAAAATTAAAATATATTTAATTTATCACCTTTATTATAAAAAAATAGATATTTATTTTTAAACCCACACTTATAGTTCATTTTTTATAGACAAATACAACAAATTAAATATGTTATAATTATTAGATTAATTTTATTTTATTTATTTATAAATTCTACAAACCTGAATAACACTCTCTAATTCAAATTTTGAAATAGAGAAAATCTCATCTCTTCAACTATCAGTAAAACTTCCAGTCCGAGAAATATTGCTAGAAAACTTACTACAAGAATTTGCACTTTTGGCTATCAATTTTAGCGACAAAAATTAATTTAGTCTCCAAAACTCATACCTTTGGCGACTAAAATTGGTATTGGTCGCCATTGGTTCAAAAATTAGCTACTGAATTTTTTTGGTCATTGTAAATTACTTATTGGTGACTAAAAAACAAATTACTCGCTAAAAACTGCCGTAATAGGCAACTAATGAACATTTTAGTCGGCGTTAGTTTTGTTTTTTGGCTACTAATTTTTTTTTAGTCGCCGTAAACTCATTTTTGCCTACAAAAAATATGTAGTCGGTAAAAATCTTGCAAAATGTTTGGTATTTATGTTTGGCGACCAATCTTTTGTCGGTAAATATTTATTTTCAACGACGAAAAAAAGTTTTTGGTTGTCGTATAAAAATATGTGGCTACTAAAATAGTTTAGTCGCCAAATAATTAAACATTATTTTACTTTTATCTTTGGCTACAAAAATTTTGGTAGGCAAAGGTTACTTTTAGACTCAAGTCACTTGGTCTCACTCTCATCGACAGCCCATCGGTCATCTCCTCTCATCGACTAACCATCGGCCACCATTGCTCAGAGCCCTCGAACCACTACAAGTACACCGTCTGACACCCATTCAATTTGATTCAGGTTTCTGTCTCTCTCTCTCTCTTCGTCTCTCTTCCTTCTTCTATTTCCCTGTTTGAGTTTGATTTATGAGTTTCATTTATGGAAAACGAGTAAATGGGTTATGATTTTTGTTCTACATTTAGGGTTTTTTTTTTTTTTTTTTTTGTTGATGCAAAGGCTTTCAATATGTCTAAAACAATTTTTATTTTGTAAACGAATCAAACCGTTGGGTTGAATCAAACAAATTTGTCAAAGTTTAGGTTGTAAATAGGTTTGGCAATGGTTGTCTTCCCCATTCGACCCATCCCATAAATCAGAAATACACCAACATCAGTTGGGCCATCTTGTAACCATAAGTTAATGTTCTTCGCTTCATAATGTATACTAACTGGATAGGGGCAACACTCTGTTTTTGTTTGATTCAATTTATTCCCAATGTTTTGAACAATTTTCTGGTTAAACTGTGAGTCAAACCTACAGATTCAAAACAGAACAGAAAACAAAGTACAGTGAGCATGTGTTGAGTTGAAATATAGATGATCTGTAGATTGCAAATGAAAATGCATTACAGAATCATGGTCTTTAATTTTGCACCATCACGACTACAATTAAGTTCATGCCATCAATTTCACATTGCCTCTAAAATTAACAAGGTATTGTGTGTGCGTGCGTGTGTGCGTGTGTGTGTATGTATGTGTGTATGTGTGTTTGTGTGTGGTCATGAATAGGTTAAGTTCAAGTACCTTAACAAAATTGAAATCTTATTTAGTTTTTGTAGAAACATACTCAAGAAATGATTATTCACAATAAAATTTTAATGAAAAAAGTACCTCTGGTATAGTTTACATTGGATGGGGTTCTAGGAGAGGTAGAATGGGTACAAATCTAACCCATAGGTTTAAACCCACAAACTCAAGGTTAGTAGGCCGAATTTTAATCACAGGACCAGTGACCCCTTGTCATTCAAAATAAATATTTAATAATGTTCAAGGATATGCAAAATATAGTGCCAAACAAGGTTACATCAACTAGGGAACAACTACATCTTTCTACCGCTACAATTTGCATATTTCTAGGAGACATGCACTAAAATTTAGGGGAGACACAGGTCCTAATTTGAGGGCATCACATTTCATATATGATGTATTGTGCAGCCCAAGATGTTTATGCATGTGCACAACCCATGATGTGGTTCTTCCATATGTCCCTAGCGCAGGCATTTCTCCAACCTTTATTTATTCTCAAGAGGCAATGCTTTATACATCACACACATTGGGATGGGATATTACATTCTTCAAGTTATTATTTGTGCTAGATGGTAGGGCTTTCTTTGGTGTTCTTTTTACTCCAAATCAGATTGTTTGTTTGGATATTGAAGAATCATCAACTGCACACAAATTTGAGTTCATTTTTTATACTGTATCCTTAAGGTGTCATTTCAAGACTTGTGCTCTCAGGTTGCGAAAGTTTCTTGTTACTCTAGATCAGATTCTAATTCATAACCTGATTCACAATCGATACTATCAAATGGGCTATTATAAAAACTGTTTGCAATTAGTGATTTAAATATTTCATGACAACATTGCCTAATTTATCAGATTGCTATGCTGCGACCAATATTCGATTTGTGATACTTTAAAATCTTGAGATGTAGACATCAATTTCTGAAGGCTACTAGAATGTATATGATTTGTTTGCATTGATGAAATTTATTGCTAAGTTCATCTTACTAGTATCGATTTCCTTCTATAGGGAAGCATATGCTTGTTCAAAGGAAGAAGACATGGATACGAGTTGTTGCTGTAACTGCATCCAAGATGTCCAACCAAGACCGTTAGATCCCAATGACATGTATCAACAATTTCATATCGTTTCTTATAAAAGAGGTGGCCAATTTTATGCCAAATCAATTGCGCCGGATGGGATTCCTCCAAACTTCTTGAGAACAAAAGGGTGGTGCATTCGTACTCAAACCCCCAAAAACTACCAACTTGGTGAAGCACTAGGCATCAACACTGCCCTCCGTGATCGCCTTCCATCATTCGATCTTCCATTATCCTACAAGAGTTCAGAAGCCATTGTTGTAGGGAAGTGGTATTGTCCTTTTATGTTTATCAAAGATGGAACACTAAGAGATCAGATGAAAAAGTCAATGTTTTATGAGATGACACTAGAGCAAAGATGGGAGCAAATATTCACTTGTGAAAATGGTTACAATCAAGGGAATGTTGTGTTTGTGGATGTTGCAGTCCAAACAGAAATAGTCACTATAGGGGGCAGAGAAGCAGTGTGGGATGAGAATAGAGTGGCCAATGGGGTGATTTGGTTTACGAGCTTTGTTGGTGTAGGAGAAGAAGTGAATGTTGGGTTGAGCTCGCTAATTGTTGACAGAATGAAATGGGAGCAAGAGAGAGGAAGGTGGCTTGGCGGCGAAAAAAGGCAAGTGAGTGTGAATAAAACAGAGGAGTATGCAGGGATTGGTGTCGGTGGGTGGAGTAGGTTTGGCTGCTATGTGCTGGTTGAGAGGTTTGTACTGAAAAGAATGGATAAAAGTGTGGCACTAACCTATGATTTCAAGCACACTCATGTGATTAGGAGCAAATGGGAATGAAAAGTGTTTGGAACCCTAAAAAACTTTAGTTATCCTGATATTGTGCACCAAGGATCCTCTAGAGTGTTTTTTTCTTATAGTTTCCTAAAGTGGTGTATTGTGTGATTGAGATTTAATGCTGAAAAATTGATGTGACTTGTCATTAAATCTCAACCACACAATGCACCACTCTAGGAAAATTTAGGAAAAAAAAACTTTAAAGGATCCTTGCTCGATATTGTGTGTAGGTCCTATAGTTTGATTCCATACTTGTATTTGGATTGGAAATTAGAAAATGTATGCTATTGGCACATTACTGGTCCAAAAAAATAAAAATAAAAATAAAAATAACTATTGGTACATTACTAAATTTATTATATTTTTTGCCTTTATGTTTTACTAATGAGGAAATATCATTTTGTCTCTAAACTATCACTCAAAAATCAATTTAACCACTATTCTTTTAATAATATCAATTTTGCACCTAGACTATTTGATTTTAGATCAATTTTATCTCTGCCATTAGCTGCCGTTTATATCAAACAAAAATTGCTGACGTAACACCAAAATTTCATTTGAAATTTTATTTTACCTATCAAACTATCACTAAAATATCAATTAAACTCTCAAATTTCATTTTATTTAGGAGTGTAATTGATATTTTGGGAATAGTTTGGTAGTAAATAAAATTTCAAGCCAAGTTTCTGCATTACACTAGCAACTTCCGTTTAATCATAGACAATAATTGACGATGGGGTAAAATTGATGCAAAATCAAGGTCTCATTTGGGAACTTGACTATTTCAATTAACTTTTTTGTTATTTTATCAGATGAAAAATAGTAATGTTTTGGATGATTTATGAATTTTTTTGTAATTAAATAGATAGTTGTGAGAGAAAAAGTGATTGAATGATGTGTAAAATATGATATATTATCTTATTGATTTTTTTTTTTGGGTCTTTTCGGCTATTTTAGCCAAAAAAAAATTATTGCCAAACCCCCACAAATAATTAATTTTTTAATAATAGTTTAGTGGATAAAATAATATTTTTTCTTTATTAATTATATTAAAACTCGTATTTTTGTTTTTAATATATAGGACACATTATTGATGATAAAATTAAAATAATTATAATTATAATTATTATGAAAATAATTATAAATTATTTAATTATAAATTTCTTTTTTCATAATTTAAAATATTTTTTAAATTTTTATTTAATATTAATATTATTTTTTGATTATTTAAGTGATACTGTGCATTGGACAGATGGGATGGGATGATAGTAACACATCTGGAAAATGTCGATATATGTATGTCCGGCCGACGGTTAAAACAAAGCCACGCACGTGGCACACATGGACGGCGAACTGTCATGGATCCACCACGCAATAAAGATTAGATTAGAGCATGTCTTTTCTCAAATTATTTATACTTTTCATCCATATTATTTATAAAAAAAAATTAATTTAATTTAAAAATTAAATTAAATTAAATTAATTTATCACCTTTATTATAAAAAAAATAGATAATTTATTTTTAAACCCACGCTTATAGTTTATTTTTTTATAGACAAATACGATAAATTAAATGTGTTATAATTATTAAATTGATCTAAATTTTTTTTATTTATAAATTCTACAAACCTGAGTAACACTCTCTAATTTAAATTTTAAAATAGAGAAAATCTCATCTCTTAAACCATCAGTAAAACTTCCAGTTCGAGAAATATTGCTAGAAAACTTGTCCATAATTGAAAAATATGATCAGAGAGTGGTTATTGGAGGCTCTTAGAACACGACTACGTGGTGTTCTAAAGTGTTGTAATTTGTGAAGAAAGTAAGGTTTATGATTTTGTATTGGGTGATTGAGCAATATGAGAGAACATAGTGTATGATGATTAGTGAAAGAATATGAACACATGCCGCTTCAAGAATATTAAATAGTATTTTCACCATATGAGTGCTTTGTGGGTACATGTATAAATTAAATTTAGACTATACATTGATATTTGTCAATATATAGGGCTGAACTTTTCTCAAGTTGAAATCTTAATTTGAGAAAATTTGAGAGGGCTTAGTGGGGTTTATCACGAGTCTTATTTTAATGATTCGAATTATTTATTTTGTAAGGCTTTCAGCGTATATTATCTATGAAAAAAATTAGGTTAACCTAATAATCGTAACTTTTTTTATTTTAATGTATATGTCTCCAAAATAAGGAATGATAAGTATGTTTTTGAAAATAAATCATTCATTTTTTTAGAAATAAATACGATAAAATGAAAAGGTTACGATTATTAAATCGATATAATTTTTTTTATGTATAATATACACAGAGAATCTTATAAAATAAATAGATCGGATTATCAAAACGGGACCTCTAGTGAGCCCCACAGGATCCTTAAGTTCTCTCAAATTAAGATTTGAACTTGAAAATAAGTCAACTTAATTTAAATCATTGAAACGAAACTAGTAATAAGTCTTACAAATTGCTAATTTTTTTTTTTAAATTAAGATTTAAATTGCAAAATTGCTCAACCCTTGTCAATAAAATTTCTAAAGTGAGTCGATTAGCAAGTTAATTGATTTTGAACGTATGCGTCAACTTGGCAACTTCTAACATATTTTAATTTTGGATTTGGTTAAAATTCTTTATATATACACATGACAAACATAAGAGAGAACTTTTATTTTTTAGGATAGAGAGATGTATGTAACAAGGTTGCTTTCCCAAATGTGTATTTTCTTGTAGTGAATGGTTACAAATTTGCTTTTATATATATATCAGTGGGTGTGTGATTTTGATTTAAAATAATATATATTGTGTTTTGTTTAAATAAAGATGCTATTTTTTTAATAATTATTTAAGTTGTTTGAACTCATTTCAACCCACTCAACTATATATGTCCGTATGTCTCCTTTCTAATACCCCAATGCTCGAGTCCTGGTTCCACTTTGGCCGTCACTTTTAATATATATGGGTATTTTTTTTTATTTTTTTTATTTTTATTTTTTTTTATGAAACCTTCTTTTTTGGGTTTTTTTTAGGATAAAAGACATCTCAATTAATTTAGTTTCAAAAAGCCCTTCAAAAGAGGAACGTGGCAAAATAAAGATATACCATAATTTCTTCTTCTTCTTTTTTTTTTTTTGACAATATTATCCTTCAATGTATATATATTTGAAAATTCAATCTCATATATTTGAGTCAATGAAGGCTATTTCCGAAATCAATGAAGACGATTTCAAAGTCTAAAGATTTAGCTGCCAACGATCTCGTTGTCGATCAACAATAGACTATCTCGCCAACAACGATCTTACCAAATTTGCCACATGTTCTCTGGCAATCTCAAAATTTGTATCAACGAGAGCTTACATTTCAAATTTATATAATCTATATCTGATTTTGAGAGTTTCATTGAAATTGAGAGCGTTGATCGAGCTTTAGAGGTTTTGCTTCGATCACTTGTTTAATTATTGTTTGAGTTCGATCAAGTATGTTGATTTGTTGATTAATTATTTTTATTTTTTTTGATTTATTTTTATTGTGTATGATTTGATTTTGTTTGATAGAATGAGAGAAAAATTTTATTCTGGTACCATGTGCTTTGTTTTTATTTGTTAGAATGAAAGTAAAATTTTACTTTTGTATTTATATACTCTGTTTTTGTTTGATAACACCAAAGTAAAATTTGACTCTAGTGTTATGTGCTTTATTTTTATTTGATAAATTGAGAGTAAAATTTTATTTTATTTTTATATATTCTATTTTTGTTTGATAGAATAATAGTAAAATTTGTTGGAAAATGCGTGAGAGTTCGAATTCGTAGAGCTCAAATGGCCCGAATAGTACGAAAAATATTATCTTATCGGTAAGAGAATTAAAAAAACAATCCTAAAATCATTTTAGAATTTCGAGCCATTCGAGTCATTAATATTTCGAGTTACGTAGCGGAGTTGAAATTTGTTTATAATATTGTGTATTTTTGTGTTTTAAACAATGAAATAGAGGGAAGGGAGAGAAACCGTTTAATCGTTTCATATTTATCGATATTTCAATCTTCTAATTATAATTTTTTAAATTTGAGGGAGTTTTGAGGTTATCGTTTTAGTTCGTGCGCCTCAACAAAAAAAAAAGGCCAAAAATCCCTAATATATATAGCATTGACTCAACGACAAAAGATGGTTTTGGCGTGCACGTAACAAAGCCTGTGTTTGGCAAGTGGGTTTGTAGGTTTTTTTGGTTATTTTAGCCACAAAAAATAAAATAGGCTATTTTAGCCATAACAAACAAAACATCACATCCAACCCATAATCATTACATTCTTCTCTCACAAAAAAATTCAAAAAAGCCAAAAAGTCAAAAAGCTCTTCCCAAACCAAGCTTTTAAGCCCAGGCTAGAATAGTTAAAAAAGTCAAAAAATCAAAAAGCCAATCCACTTCCCAAACGGAGGCAAAGTGTTGGAAATTGTATTCCAAATTGTCTTATCTCCATCCTCCGAAGCACCTCGATATTCTTTGACTTCTCTAATATGTCTATTTTTTTCTTTTTAAGGATAAATTATGGCCTCGTTTAAAAAGTTAGATATTTTAGTTTTGATTGTTTTAATAAGTTAAAATATTTTTATTTAAAAAATGAGTTAAATTTTTTTATAATTTGATGTAATATTTATAAGAAAAAAATAAAATAATTATAAATTTGATGTGATATTTTGTCCTACTAGTTGTTTTAATTTATTTTTTTCTTTTTATAGATTTTAACCCAAAAAGCTTAAAAAAATCCTTTGCCAAACACCCCTATAAATATTTGATTACAAAAAAAAAAAGAAAAGACCCCATAAATACATCACTTAAGGTTTGATTAAAATATAAATCACCTCATGTAGTTCTGAAAATTATATTCCACCCCTTGAAGTTTCTAATTTCATAACAAATCGCTCATTTTATTAATAAATCATCAAGTCAATTAACAGTTTTTAATGATGTTAGAAATATGTTTTAATTAGTAATTTAGGTAATTTTATTATTATTTAAGAGAGCAATTATGAAGTTTATTTTTTAGTTAATTCTGCTAAATAAAATTTTTTAACAAAGGGGCATTTTTCATTTTCCAAACTATAGGGGTAATATGTACTTTAAGCAAATCTCATGGGGTGTATTCGTAATTTAACCATTTTTTAGGGTAAATTGGAAAGAAAATTAGTGAAACATCCATCTTCAACTTTTAGTAGTAGAAGATGACTTATATATTTTTTCTTATCAATTAAGATTTTTCAATAATATTATTGGAGAAATTTATATTTTTTCTTATCAATTAAGATTTTTCAATAATATTATTGGAGAAATTTCAACTTGTCACAGAGAAGGGCTGAAATTTCTATGTGAAGACAAATTCCTATGTGTTGAATTTTCTCTGTGCCGAAATTTCTCTGTGAAAATGTTGAGGGACCCCAACTATTATAAAAATATTCCATGTCTTTTAATCTTATAAAATCTTAATATGAGGGATAATTCCAAATTCCAAATTACAACACACCTATGATGTTTGTTTAAAATATGAGTTATCCCTATAATTTAGAAAATTACATCTCACCCCTAAAATTTTTAATTTTATAACAAATAATCTCTTTTATTAATAAATCATCAAGTTAATGAACAGGTTTTAATGATATCAAAAAATTATTTTGACTAATAATTCAGGTAATTTAATTATTGTATAGAAGAGTAGTTAGAAATTTTATTTTTGCAATTAATTCTGTTAAATAAAATATTATAACAATTAGGTATTTATAATTTTCAAATTACATGAACAAACTATATTTTAAACAAAATTCATGGGTATATTTATAATTTATTTTAATTTTTTTATAATAAAATATTCATTAAAATAAAAAGCATATATCAGTCAAATGTCGTTTGCAACCGATGACGAAATTTCCATGTACTGGCCTATTTGAATTCAACACGCCATTCATCGTATTTTATTACTAAACACAAGCCTAACACATAAATAAAAACACAATGCTTAGCTTGTGTCTCTAGTCCATTATTTTTATGTATAGTTTAATTATTAAAAAAAATTATTCATAAAAATATTAGATTAGATTAATTTAATAATTATAGTAGATAGATGATTTAATGCTTTTTTTTTATTTAAAAAAAAAGACAAGTATAATTTTAAAATTAAATCTTTCATTTTTTAAAAATAAATATAATTAAATCATAAGATTACAATTATCAGATCAAATTATTTTATTATTTTATGAATATATATGATTTACACACAAAAACCTAAAAAATCAATGGATCAAATTATTTAAATAGAATCATTAGAATTCATTTTTAAAAAGTCTCATCTATCTGAATAAATTATGTGGTCATACTTTCATGTATATAAATACACATGACAACAAACATGGTGCTCCAAATACAAATCATAAGCTAGGAAGACTAGACATAGCAAAGGAATCTTTTTATTTTATTTTTTAGGGAGGGGGGAGAGATGTATGTGGCAAGGCCTCTTTCATACTACCTAAGATCACCTGAATATCTTTCATTACCACCAGAGGGTCCAAACTCTGGTTATTTGGTAATCCAAGACGAAGAATCCGAGACTACTACTTGTTTCGGATTGTGTAAGAATCGGAATCTAATCGATCTGCCTTTCCCGCAGAACAAGAACCTCACTGTTCAAGACTCGTCCGGTACTGTTTTTTATGATGCTACCTTTGTTCCAGTTCTAAATCAGCCATTGTCTTCCAATCTGTATTATGCAATAAAGCCACATGGGTCTCGTAAAGGGTATGTATACTATGCAATAGCTGAATCAAAAATTTATAGATTTGAGAATTTCTGTTTGTTTGAGCCTTTTTTTCCCTTCATTTTCTTGCTTGCCAATTGACATAATTTGTTTATGCTGTGTCTGTACCAATGTTTTAAAAATCGGACCGGTGATCGAACCAGAAAAGTGATTGGGTGGACGGGTCATTGGTTCAACCGTTGAGTTGAATCGGAATCGAACCGTGACGTAATAAATATTAAATTTATATTTAAATAAAAATATAAATAATAAAATTAAAAATTAAAAAAAATAAAACATTAAATTATCTTAAATATTTCTCCTAATATTTTTTTTACTAAAAAATATAATAATATATTTTAAAATATTAATAATTTTAATTATGAAAGAGAAAATCAAATATTCAATATTCTCTCCATATGATTTTAATTCAAATAATTTAATTGAAAGAAGAACTAAAATTTTGGAGGGATATCAAAATTTCAATTCTTTCTCCAATAAATTTGATTGAATCCCAAATGGATTTTTTGAGTTTTTTTGGAATATTTTTTTTCTTATAAATAGGTAGAGACTCACAATAATTTCAAACTCTTAATGGGATTCCTCACAAGAGGAGACCCTTGAAAAAGAATTTTCAATTAAAGTTTTCTTTTATATATATATAATATATATAAAATAAGAAAGAAAGAGAAGAAAGACAGAAAAATTAAAGAACCGTCAGTTTTTCCGGTTCTCTTTAAACACACCGGTTTTTGACTTCAACCGGTTCAGAGGGTATATCCAGACCGAAACCCCGATCGGTCGACGGTTCAACCGGTTGAACCGGCCGGTCTAGTCCGTTTTTTAAAACCATGGTCTGCACATAATATAACAGTGTTAAATTTAGATGGTAAGTGTGGTTGGTGATGGGCAATAATTAAGGTCTTCTCATGGGTCAAACATAGCTCTGCCCAAGTACAATTATTCATGAACTTAGGATCAACATTGAATAAGTAATTTTAATGAAGAGAATATGCCCAACTGCATCATCATATTTTCATACTCAACCATATTAACAACAAATATCTAATTAATGATGATATATATATATATTGAAAGTAAAATTTGATATTGTACTATACACTTTGGACGAATTTTCTCAATTACTAGTTACATGTGTTTTCGCTCTAAAAATTAGAATCTGAATTTGTCCCCGGATTGGAACGTATTGCTAGGTTTGTCTTACTACTTGATTTCGATTGCCTTCATAGGGAAGCATATGCTTGTTCAAGGGAGGAAGACATGCGTACCTGTTGTTTTTGCAACTGCATTCGAGACGTTGATCCAAGACCACTAGATCCTAATGACATATATCAGCAATTTCAGATCATTCCTTATGCAACAGCTTGCAGAAGTGGTGGTACATTTTATGCTACATCAATTTTACCAGATGCTTTTCCTCCGTACTTCTTAAGAATAAAAGGGTGGGAAATTTATACCAAAACACCCAAAAACTATGAACTAGGTGAAGCGCTAGGCATCAATACTGCCCTCCGTGCCAGCCTTCCAGCATTTGATTTCCCACTATCCTACAAGAGCTCAGAAGCCATTGTTGTGGGGAAGTGGTATTGTCCTTTCATGTTTATCAAAGACGGAACACTGAGAGATCAGATGAAAATATCAATGTTCTATGAGATGACACTTGAGCAAAGATGGGAGCAAATATTCACTTGTGAAAATGGTTACAATCAAGGGAACGTTGTGTCTGTGGATGTTGCTGTCCAACGAGAAATGGTCACTGTGGCGGGTAGAGAAGCGGTGTGGGATGAGAATAATGTGGCCAATGGGGTGATTTGGTTTACGAGCTTTGGTGGTGTAGGAGTAGAGGTGAATATTGGGTTGAGCTCGCTAATTGTTGATCGAATGAAATGGGAGCAAGAGAGAGGAGGGTGGCTTGGCGACAAAAAAAGGCAAGTGACGGTGAATAAAACAGAGGAGTATGCAGGGATTGGTGTTGGTGGGTGGAGTAGGTTTGGTTGCTATGTGCTGGTTGAGAGGTTTGTGTTGAAAAGAATGGATGGAAGTGTGGTATTAACCTATGATTTCAAGCACACTCAGGTGCTTAGGAGCAAATGGGAATGAAAGAGTTTGAATTCTTACAAACTTCCATTTATCTTTATCATCTTATGTGCATATGATGTTGTTTAATTCTATTTGTATTTTATTTTAATTTTTTGAAACGAGGAGAGGAATAAGAAAATTTAAACGAGCTTGTTTTGATTTCTTTTCTGTATGTATAATATGACCTTGGTTGTATTGTTTGAATGCTTGTGTTGGTTCATGGAATTCATTTTCTTTGTTCATCTTCCTGATCAAAACTAATTTTTCTTGGAAGAATAAAGTAGTCTTTCCACTAATTTATTATCTTTTGAGAATAAAAAGAATAATGTTATATGCACTAATTAGTGTACTAACTAATGCATTAACAGATGTGATACAATTTTAGATGTTTTGGATATTTGTAATTTGTATAATAGGTGAGATCAGCAATAATGACATAACATTAATTGGTACATTGATTAATATACTAATTGGTGTATATAACACCACCGAAATAAAAATTTAGATACAGAAAAGCTTTTATTGAATATGTAACACCAACAAGGTTTTTTTTTTTTTTTTTTTTTGAACAAATAGCACCAACAAGGTTAACCAATCCCAACATGCATTTAGGATTAGAAATCCCAAGTTTAATGGCCAAGAAGCTACACAATAATGTAGAGAAAATTATAACAAAAAAACTCTACATTTTATTTTTGATTTTTAATTTTATAAGATGATGAATGTGGACCAACACACTTTTCACGGGGACGATTTTGTTATTTTATAATTTTAATAAATGCATCAATTAAATTGTCTTATGTGTGTTTATAACATTTGCTAGACAATTTGCTTCAATTGTTTAGGATTAGCCGTTGGTGATTTATTTTTAGTTTTAGTTTTTGTTTTTGTTGATTTTTTTTTTAATTTTAAAAATTTTTAAATTTCTAAAATGTACTTGACTTGATGAATCAAAAAAATTTAAAAAAGTTTCAATAGGTGAAATTTTTTTAAAAAAAAGTTATTTATTTATTTATTTATTTTTTTGGTGTGTTCAGTTAACTCATTTTAAATTTTTTCAAAATTTTTAATTGTAGCCACATGAATTTATCTCTATCTTTAAATTAATTAAAGACAAATATAATTTTGAAAAAGAAAATTCTAAACATACAAAAAATTTATATAAAAAATCTGATAAGAGTGATATGGTAATACCATTATTATAAATATAGATCTATCTTCAATCATTGTTTTGAAGTAAAAGGTTCACAATGAGTAATATCATTATGTATGAATTTTTTATTTATATTACATTACTCTTTTGAAAATAAGCTATTTACATTTTTAACATTAATATAATAAAGTCATATTGCGACCATTATCGAATTAATTTCATTTTTTTCACAATAATTTACATTAAAAAATTAAGGGAAAAACATAGCTCAGTGGTACTATAAAAAATTAATTACTTATTAATAAAAAAAATTATAATTTATAATTTTAATATTTATAATATTTATTATTAATTTGTAAATATTTTTTTAAACTTTATACTGAAATGTAAGTTTGCAAAAAATAAAGAAAATTAGTCTAAAGTCCCTCTTCTAGTTTTAGTAATGGGAGAGGTCCACAAGATTATTTTGTGATGTGTAAGGTCTATCACCCACCCCCATATATCTCACCCACCAAAATGAGTCTCACTGAAAACTCCAAGTACCATCCTATCCTCCTCTCCCTTCAACAACACTCGCACTCACTCACTCATCATCTTCGAAGATTCTGAATCCAATTTCTAGAAAAGTACAAATCCAAACTCCAATTTCTTTTGATTTCAATTTGATTTGACTTTCTTTGATTTTAATGGTGATGAAAAACAGAGAAATTCATTCCTCTAATTCCCTCCTATTTGGTTTCCCTGAAAAAGATTGCAAAATTAAAATAATTAGATTACCTTCTCGTGTTCGCGATTTCAACCTCGTCCCACTGTTTCCTCTCTCTCCAAGCCAGTCCAAGGACGAGGCTAAGTCCGAGGAGGAAGTTGAGGCCGAAAAGTTCGAGAAAGCTGTGGATGCTGGGGCCAAGTCCCCCATTCTGAATGAGCAAGTCTCAGACTTGACTCAAGATGAGGAAGATAAGGTCTCAAAAGATGCCGCCCCTAAGAAGACAACATCTGACGCACCTATCGCCGAGAAGAGCATCGACCAAACTCTCCAAAAGATCGATGCCGAGCTCGCGGTTGAGAAGGCCGCCGAAAAGAGTTCTCAGATGTCTTCCGAGCGCCAAACCGGTCCAGCTGATAATGCCGAATAGTCTAATCTTGAAGCTTTTCCTCTGTACTTAGTACTTTTTTCTTTTTGAACAATGTTTAGCTCTTTATTTGGCCGATGTGCCTTTCAGTAATCTGAACAATTATTCTTCAATGTCAGGCCAAAGTGCCTTCTTTCCTTATCTGAATGCATTCTCTAATTTCTTCTTTCAGTGTGATTGTATGCTTGTATGCTTTACTGCTTCCATACTTAGAATCTTTTGCATGTCTTCAGTTTATGCCTTTTTTGTATAGTCTCCTCAGATTAACATACCTCGGACAAACTTTCAATCTTGCTTATTTCGGCCTTAGCTTAACACTTGAAAACATTATAGAAAATATTTTCACAAGTGCTATATAAAACCTGCCACATTACTTTTACTTAGCAAGAGTTCTATCTTCAAATATCTTCTAAGTCTTGGCAACATGGTAATCTCGGCAACATGGTAATCCCGGTAAGTACATAGATACTTCTTTTAACATAATCTTGGCTTAACTTCAAATTGTAAATTTTTCTTAAAATTTCATCAAGTGTTAAACCATCCTTCCTTTAACATAACCTCGGCTTAACTTCAACTTGTAAATTTTTCTTAAAATTTCAACAAGTGTTAAACTAACCTTAGCTTGTAGATTCCAACTCCCAAGCATCATTCTGCAGCCCTCTGCCCTCTAATGTAAACTTAAGTTCCACTTGGGTTCTCATTAAGCATGTGGATTTGACCTCGTTGCCGAGGTCAAATTCAAACAAAGACTGGCCGAGGTTACCAACCTTGGTCTCTTTGTTAATCTAACTGACATGTACTTAGTTTCAATCTGTGTCTGACTCTACCGATATGGCAAGTCTAGGTTAATTCAACTTAGTTCAACTCTATTATATGTAAGTATAATTCAACTCTGTCATATAATAAGTCTAAGTTATTCGTTATGTTTCAATCAGAAACATCGCCAACTTAGTTCAACTTTATTATATACAAGTATAATTCAACTTTACCCTATAATAAGTCTAAGTTATTCGTTATGTTTCAATCAGAAACATCGCCAATTTAGTTCAACTTTATTATATGCAAGTATAATTCAACTCTGTCATATAATAAGTCTAAGTTATTCGTCATGTTTCAATCAGAAACATTGCCAACTTAATTCAACTCTATTATATGTAAGTACAATTCAATTTTGCCATATAATAAGTCTAAGTTATTCGTCATGTTTCAATCAAAAACATCGCCAAGGGACTGTTCAACCATGTTACACAAGTTTGAAATAAAAAATCGAGCTAAAATTTTATTATTACTTTGGTTAATAACAGAAAATTTTAAAAAACAAAAAATCTAATGATAGAAAAACTTCAGGTTGCAAGTATTCCAAGGTCTTGGCAACTCTTTGCCTTCACTGCCTTTAAGCCAATATGCACCATTGCCCAGGACCGAGATGATTCTATAAGGTCCCTCACAATTTGGGCCAAGCTTGCCCTCTTTGGGATCCTTCTTATTACCGACGACCTTTCTTAAGACGAGATCCCCAACTTGGAACTCTCATGGATTAACCTTCTTATTATAAGCCCTGGCAAGCTGCTGCTGGTATGCCCCAAACTGAATTGTTGCTTTCTCTATTCTTTCTTCTAGCAGATCCAGATCTCGGGCCAAGAATGCCTCATTGCCCATTTTTCTACTCCCCGGGTTCTGATCCCTGGGATGCCGACCTCTAGTGGAATAACTGCTTCTGTGCCATAAGCCATGGCAAATGGTGACTCCTTAGTTGATTTTCTCGACATAGTCCGATATGCCTAGAGTACATTGGGTAACTCTTCCACCCACTTTCCCTTTGCTGCTTCCAGCCTCTTCTTGATTCCATCCAAGATAACCTTATTGGAGGCTTCTGCTTGACTATTATTCTAAGGAAAGCTTGGAGTAGAGTAATAATTCTTGATTTTGTACTTTGCACAAAAGCTCTTGATTAGCTTACTGTCAACTGTGTACCATTGTTTGCTATTATTTCCCTTGGGATCCCAAACTTGGTGATGATGTTCTTCCATATAAAGTTCTGCACATCAACGTCCTGAATTTTTGCAAGGGGTTCAGCTTCTACCCACTTGGTGAAGTAATTTGTTGCCACTAGCAAGAACTTCCTTTATCCAGTTGCTTGAGGCAATTATCTAACAAGATCCATACCCCATTGGGCAAATGGCCAAGGACTGGACACTGGATTCAAGTCTGCTGCTGGTTGATGTATCAAAGGTGCAAACCTCTGGCACTTCTCACACTTCATGACATAAGCTTCAGCATCCTTCTGCATGTAGGGCTACCAATACCCCTGAGTAATGGCCCTATGAACAAGTGACCTGCCCCCAACGTGGCTTCCACATGGTCCTTCGTATATTTCATACAGAAAGTTTTCAACTTGTGAAGGATGCACACATCTCAAAAGGGGTCAAGTAAAAGATCTTCTGTAGAGGTGTCCCTCTGCTATTAGACTGAACCTTGCTGACTTCAGCCTGATCTTGTGTGCCTCTTTGTGATCATCTGGCAGTTTCCCATCTCTAAGGAATATTATTATCGTATCCATCCAACTTGGTCCCCATCTCTACACACATTGCTTTATGCTCTATGTTCAGTAGTTCTATGCTTGGACCTGACAATTAGTCAACCATTATCGTCCTTGTCTCTCCAGATTTCATTGCACTAGCCAGGTTGGCCAGAGCATCAGCATGGCTGTTGTCATCTCGGCTAACCTGCTGTAGTTGACAATTTTGGAATAAGGCTACCAGTCTGCCCACCTCCTTTACATAGGCCGACATTCTTTCATCTAGGGCTGCGTATTCGCCTGTTATCTGGTTGATGATAAACTGGGAGTCACAGAAGACTATTACCTCATCAGCTTCTATTGCTACTGCCAGCTTTAATCTTGTGATCAGTGCTTCATACTCTGTTTCATTGGTTGAGGCTTTAAACCCCAAACGAA